ATTATTAATATATAATGATATATTATTGATAGATATAATAAATTAATCATAATACAAAGTATAATAAATATTAACTATTTGTTTGATTTGATTTTTATAATGGAGTTATATCACAAAAGTTTAAATAAGAAATACTGTACGTTTTTTTTTTCTTTTAAATGGACATGGACTTTAGCCCAAAATAAAAAAACGGTGTCGTTGATGCTAAAGCGACTTCAGAACCATTTGGATTATTGGTTGGCTTGGCTCCCCGGTCTTGGCATTAACGTATTCAATTTTCCAAGATATGCCCCAGATTTCGAAGTAATCTCGACTCGCGGCCCTCATCACCATTCTACGTTTTGGTTTCGTGGAACCCGATTCAGGATTGGTTTAATTGAATAATGAATAATCCTCCTGAGCTTACTTCTACCAAGGATATTTTCGTTCCTTGATTTCCTTGTTCATGCTTTGATCCCTTTCTGGGTTATCCATTAAAAACCCTAATTCCTCGACTTCACGAACTTCTCTTTTTTCGGTATATTTATGCTCTCATGTTATTTAATCCTGATGAATGCCTTTATGTATGAAAATATGGTTATATTGGGCTTGAAGTATTATTTTCTGTTTTGATTGTTATCGGAAATTGCTAGTGTCTATTTATTTGAATTTTGTTTCCTTACGTATATAATTGATGAGCTATATATACAAGTTTTATTTAATTTAATTTAATTTACTTGGTAGTTGTTTTCTTTGGGTATGCTCTATCTCTTGTATTTTCGACGAAGATTGTAGCTTGGAATTTCAAATCGCTGTTCTGTATCTTCTTGTTGATTGCTATCTTATATATGCAGTCTAGTCAATGACAGCCTCCCAGGGTAAAGTTACGTACTCTTCACTTTCGAATGTAGAAAAGGGGAACTCTGAATTCCACTATGATGGCAATGTCATTATGCTGAGTCTACTTGGAAGGCGCCAAACTCTTGTACGAGTAGCTCAAAGTCTTCAAAGCAAGAGTTTCTGTACCAGTTTCCCTCTGAAAGTGAGGATTTGTATGACGGAGGTTATGAATCAAGTGAAGATCCATGTAGTATTGAACCCTCTAACATCCCTCCAGAGGTGAACTTGAAGAATGTGCTCGGTGGGATTGTTGCAATTTTGACTGGACGGAATAGAGGTCCAAGCATTAGTTCAAATCAGCAATTCTCAATTTCTAATGTCTCATTTCTTGGTTCTGGAAAGAATGGAGATGCTGTCCTACACTCTTCAGTCTACACACCAAGTGCACCGCCTCTTTTTGAGCCGGCTGGAATTAATTATAGTGCCTACAAAGAGGTGTTGGAGTCTGACCCCCCTGAGTGGCTTCCAGACAGTTCTGCTACCGTTTGTATGCAATGTACTGCACCATTTACTGCACTCACTCGTGGAAGACATCATTGCCGTTTTTGTGGGGGTATTTTTTGTCGAGCTTGTTCAAAGGGGCGGTGTTTGTTACCAGTTAAGTTTAGGGAAAGGAATCCGCAGAGGGTGTGCGATGCCTGCTATGATAGGCTTGATCCTTTACAGGGTGTTCTTGTCAACACCATTAGCAATGCCGTGCAGGTAGCAAAGCATGATGTGATGGACTGGACTTGTTCTAGAGGGTGGCTTAATCTCCTATTGGTTTGTGTATGGAACATGATATATATAAAGCATCAAATACATTGAGAAGCTACTGTCAGGTTCGTTTTTTATATGAATTTATTTTGTATTGAGCTGGTAATTATGAGCAATTTTATAGTTGATGTTTTCGGTGATAATTCTAATATTTTGGACTTTACCTTTCTGAATTGTTTTGTACCTGACATTTTTAAAAGGTTGTCTTTCCTTTTTATGTAAATTATTTTGTAATATTGAAATGTACAGGTGGCTAGATCTAATCCTGAGAGGTCTATTCCCTTAGCCATTCTCAGAGAAGCCAAGGGCTTAGCAATTTTAACAGTTGCCAAAGCTGGTGCGCTGGTCTCGTACAAACTTGGTACTGGTCTGGTTGTTGCTCGGAGATCAGATGGGTCGTGGTCTGCACCATCAGCCCTATTCTCCCTGGGTTTAGGATGGGGTGCTCAGGTGATGAAATGTTGCATGTTTAATAATTTGCTGGGTTACAGTTATTTCTTCACACCTCTGCCTATCATCACTCTGATTTAATGGAAGATGAAGGATGTAAGTAGAAAGATGGACGTGGAGCCATGGAATATGTTTAAGAGTTACTTGTTTCCCAATATGCTTGGACATTTAATATTATTTTGGAATTCTTGTTTGCATCTTTCTCTTGCATTGGTAGTAAGAATTTGTATCTCTATAAATCTGGGGAAATATCACCCTTTGAACAGGGAATCGATAGATTAATTTGATCACTCTGTCTCAGGTACAAGTGGGTCTTGATCTGGTGATGTCTTTATTCCTCACTGATGAATCTATGCTTATCCTGTGTATCCAGATTGGTGGAGAACTCATGGATTTTATAATTGTTCTTCATGATATGAAAGCTGTGAAGACATTCTGCAGTCGCATGCACTTTTCTCTTGGTGCTGGTTGTAGTGCTGCTGCAGGGCCTCTTGGAAGAGTGCTGGAAGCAGATATTCGAGCTGGTGACAGAGGTTCTGGAATGTGTTACACCTACAGTTGTAGTAAAGGTAGCTTATTGTGAAATTTTGTTGCACATGGATGGACCTCATATTGCATGAAAAACCAAGGGGATTTATCACAAGTGTTTCATTTAAATGCATGGGCATATTTGAACTGCTTTGTGATGTTAGTTTGTACTGTTGCTTTCAACTTGGTTAAATGATTTGAAAATTAATGTACCAGTCAGTCAAGGTTGTAATATAGTTACTGGGCTGGTGCCTATGACCCTATGTCACTACCTAGGTATGAAAGCTCCTATGAAACTTGAACTTTGGAGTGTGGAGTAATGTGGATTGTGCGTTTTCTTATAGCTTTATTGGGACATATAATGTTTATGGCTTAATTTCATTAGAAGTAGTGTTTGAATTTGCTAAACCTACAAATATATATATATATATATATTTTGGGTGTGTTACAAATGATCCAGCATTTGCCTTGTTATTTCAGAATTCTGAAATATAACATGCTCTCCTTGTTTGTATGTATTATATTTTTCTCTTATTTTTCCTTGGGGGAGGAGGGTTTCGAAATGACTGTCCCCTTAGAGTCCAGCATAGTCTACTGTTTAATTTTCAAGATTACATAATGAGGATGTGTGAAATTGTGTTTCCAGAGCGTTTATTTTATCATTTTTTTTTTTGGCAAAAGGGGGTTGTAGATCTGTTGTTAGATACCATTTATTACAATAGAAAAGTGAGAGCCGGCCCTCGTACAAGGGTGACGCTATTGAATTTACTTATGTAGTCTTGGTTTTAGAAACTGATGCAATTGAATCAACATCGTCCAGAAGATATTATTTCATCCCATTAATTTGGAAGAATGCGCCTTCATTTCTATATCATTTCCTTGTTCTCTGTGTATCATTTCTGTCTTTTTTGTTCTTTAGGTAGAGTGAAGTTTGAAAGTATGACCAATGTTTGCCACACTGTAGGTGCATTCGTGGGAGTGTCCTTGGAAGGTAATATTGTTGCCACCAGGATGGAAGCCAACCTGCGCTTTTATGGCGATCCTTATCTCACTACGACTGATATTCTACTTGGATTGGTGGCCAGACCAAAGGCAGCTGAACCATTGTACGCCTCTCTTCAAGAACTATATTCCAGTTTGATTCATTAGGTCCACTTCCAGTTGCATACGGCAGCAGTCATGCTGTCAACATGTGAAGGTGCATCGAAAATTTGTGGTTCTGTATATGCGTACGTCACATTTATGACTCCTGAAGTGTATAGTTTCATTTACTAATTTATTGTCGTTGGTATCTACTGTGCCAATCAGTCATACCGTGGGTCAAGGGACCCCTTTCCCTTTCCCACAATAAACCAAGATACGTATATCATAATTCAACCGCAAATAATGCTCCCCCCCCCCCCCTTGTTCCTTGTAAAAATTATGTGTTATCGGACTTGGATTTTTTTTTTTTTAAATCGGAGTTGGATTGTACATAGTAAATGAGTCTGATAAGTTTTTTCGGTCCCTGCTTCTTGGGTTCTTTTTGAGCATGCAAGCAGGCTCAAATGGGCTTTGATGGAGAATTGATCCAAAAACTCTCCTTACATTCACGTCTATTATATTTTAGAATATATATATATATATATATAGATATACAATTCGTTATAAAAAAATAATATATATACAATAATTATGTTTTGAATTTGTTGCCGGTAAAGCTAAAGTTCATGCATAAATCTTGAGCGCTGTCACACCTGCGGGGCTAGCATCATAAAGTCATCCTCGTAAACATGCGTAAATAATGCCATGAGGAATCGGAATGGAAAACGAAGCTTGTTCGTTAGCTTTTTCATTACAGAGAAATTCTTCATTACAACGAGTGGAAAGCACAATTTTAATCCCATTATCTGTTGATTCGTGTGTGAAATAATTTAAGGAAGAATATCAATACAAGATCTATCAGAGAAAGACTTGAAACAAGTAAAGATTAACAAATGATAAGTGAAAGTTTAAATTTTAACAAGCATTCAATCCATTCAAATTTTATTTAATATTAAATTATTTTATCGGCCTTTCCTTGATATTCTCCCACCATTGAATAAGATCAAATTGAGAATACCAAATCGATGTAATCTGAATTATTATGTATCCTTTCACTTCTGATTAACACCTGTAATTTTCTAGTTGGTTAGGTTTCTAAATATCTTTTGATTGTTACCAGAGAGTAGGGAAATGTAACACACTAAATATCTACAATCTTCAATATATTATCCCCCCAAATTTTCGTACCAGTTGACATGAAACCAATGAAATTTCCATCAGAATATGATGAAATATTGAATTTTTTTATTAGTTATACTCAGGGTCAGTCGTCAAGGCACATGTACAACATTTTAGACAGTAAATGACAAATATGGAATGAACATTAATTATACTCAGGGTTACAAGACAAGAATGATTAGTTCGAAATCCAGGCAAACTTGGCAAACCTTTGAGCCTTCGAAAATTGCAGCATGACAATGATGTCGAAAGAGAACTAAATCAATAACTTCACTAAATGAAGTATATCAACATTCTTTACATCTAAATAAGTAACTAAATCAATTCAGTTGAGGAAAAATACTCATGCTACAATCCTATTCAAGGCTTTCTTTCTCTACATACTAGTGATGCTCAAAAACTTTGGCTGCCCTGTCTGACCATAATATGCGCAATGGGTAAACGATAAAAAAATAATTACATTCGTGAAAACCCGCCTCATCAATTGAGTGTGTGTTTATGAGAGAGATAAGATTCTCGGAGAAGAGAAGCACTCTTGGCCCGTTAATATCCGTTTGAAGTTTTCTGGGATTTCTTTCTGAAATTTGAGATGCTGCAATGTGGGCAAACGTACTCTAGCCCATCAGTTTTAGCATAGTCCTGCCATTCAACATGCATACGTTAAAAATAACAAAGAAAGTTTTTACTACCTCGGTCTCGGTTTGTCTCATATGCTATATTTTGGAGCTATGTTTGAGAAATCATTACGAAACTAAAGAAAACAAGAATGCACAGCGACAGTAAAGTTCATAATGGGAAATGGAATTCGATTAGGTGGAGTTTGATACGTGGACACCCTGTTTTTCCAAGCAATTGCAAACTTCTATAAAATATTGATATAACTTTAAAAAACAGTATTCTCCGGGATATGCGTAGATTATAAGTTTTTTGTGCCTCTTGTGATCAAAATATCTCGTGAATAGGATTCCAAGTACTTGGAAAATTAAAGTTTTCATGTACCACACATCCCCTTCTTTACTTGCTCCTACTTCAATTTTTCAAACCCGGTTAATCCTTCTCTTAATTTGTTTCATTATCATTCAAGAGGAACAGCTACAGTTGCTGATATCCCTTCAGAAAACCGAAAACAAAAGCAAGAGTTTTGGGTAGAGGCTAAAACTATACTCTTCCTCAATGCGCTAATGTCAAATTACTAGTGATATGGAAAATATGAGGGTAAAAATCATGCTCTTCGAAGGGACTTAAACATGCAATTAATTTCACAAACTTAGCATTCACTTAAAAGTCAAATTCTAATGATACCTTAAATGCGCCAAGTCCTTGACGCCTATCACAGCCAAAGTGAGCCCACTCACCGCATATCCCACAATTCACCCAATCACCAGCTGCGCTACTGTTGCCCCAAATGAGAGGTAATTGATAGTCAATCAGATCAAATTTAGAGAACTCTGCAATTAAAACATTAATTTATTTTTCAATATCTAATAGTTAATAAGAGCAAGAAAGACCTGCGGCACAACAAGCAGCACTCTCCGTCTACGTCATCATGAGCCAGTTCATACTCTAGAAGATAAGTTTCATAATGTCTTTTAAGTGTATTGCCAACACCCTGAAAGCAAAAGGGAAATGATTAGCTTCCCCATGATTTCACTGTATGAAGGATCCAAGATGGTATTAAAAATACCAAGTAGTAGTAAGCAATGAAGATGCCATGCAAAATACAACCAATAACAGGATATTACTTTCCTCAATTTGTGCATAAAGCTCAGAGAAACTAAACGGAAGGATTTTCTTCCAAGTAATTGTCTTATTTTTCATTTCATGAAGATACATGCAATAACCAAAAGCCATTCTTAGACTACATATTGGGCTCAAAAGGCACTGAAGCAACATAATTGCCTCATAACCGTTGGGTCTATGGATCATGCAATATAGCTTCCACTCTAGGAGATTATAGTTCAAAGAGCACATAAATTGTCTGATATACTATGTCAGCATTCACTGATCTACGGGGGAGTGTCTAATATAAATAATGGCATTTAATGGAGCTCCGCAAATAATGACACCTCACGAATTATTTGATTACCAAATAATTTACTGCTCAGAAGTCAGTCTTTTCTTTCTTCCCATGGAAATTAATAAATTAGCACTAAAGAAGAAGAAAGCAGCTTCCAGCCAAAGTTCCATATACAGTATTGCAGTTGCCAATTAAGATAAATATATGAATGCTTTACATAAAGAAAGAGATAACGGATACTATGTATGATTGCATTATTCACAAACAAAAGTGTAAAAACAATGGAAAATAAAGCATTGCTGTGTTTCCCCCAAGAGACTTGTACATTTGAGGAGGGGAGTTTCTTTAAAGTAAAATTCTAGGACAGTTTCTAGAAAGTGATCCACACAAGAATCTGAGAGAATATTCATTTTCATGTAATTTCTCACAAGAACCAGAGATTAAAAAAAACAGCGAGAGAGAGATATGGTTTCATACTGTCATTCTATTAGTCAAAGTGTGATTTCGCATCTTTGAGAAAACTTGCCCTTTCCAATTGATGCCATTCCCAACATGAAACCCTCCTCTAGATACCACCTGAAATAATATGTAAGTTCGTTAAAAGCAGTTTCTTGGCTTCCATGGCCATGTAGTTCAAATGATTTACCTCTCTGTACAAGTTAAAAAGATCTAGGCGTTTAGCATTCAGAATGGCTTCAGGGAATTCAGAAAGACCACCCTGTGGAATTAGCCGAGAATGCCCACGAAGGATAAGAAACTGCATTACATCCCTCAAGAATTCCTCCTGCCAGAAAGTGGATCACAGTTAGAAGAAAATAGCTAACACCTACAATTCTTGACTAGGAACTAAATTGCATCAAGCAATGACAATATCTCAGACTGGGTATTAGGATAACAATAAGAATAGCAAAAAAAAAAAAAAGAAGAAGAAGCAAAGGTTAAAAAATATGAAGCGGAAACTGAACAACTTACCTCTGAACAGGTCCGTATTGGAGCTCTGTCACAACCATGCTTCTTCATTGGTAGTGGATTTAATGTGACGATCTGCTGAGCCTGAAAGGAAGTTGACGAAGATTTCCTATTTGTGACTGGATTAGAGCCTATACCATTATGCTTTGTTGGAGCCATTGGCAGATTTGATTTTCCACGTTCTCCATCAAACCTCTCCCCCTCAGACAATCCAGAAAAAGGTTGAATCTTCTGACGATGTGATTGAGGGATTGGTCTCATTGCAGCAATGTTCAATTTCTGTCTATTGTTACCACTATAACTGTCTTGAAGGCTACAAGAATTGAAAGACTTTATTCCAAAGAAAGGCTCTGTTCTTTTTCGAGTAGGTGGTGGAGGTATCAGCCAACTAGGATGCCCAACAGAAATGGAGTCATTAAGGCAATTTTTTTCTGACTGCCTTGAACAAAAGTAAAGGAGACGTTCCGCATCAACTTTTTTAAATGATGCAACAGGCAATCCTTGAACACTGGCTACTCCCAGCATAACCAGGCTGCGGTACGACACTTCTGGTGCAAGCTGTCTCAGAACCTGAGAAAAAAATTCAAGAAGCTCTAGGTCAAAAGATAATATCCCATATCAAACACACTCCATCAAGGATCATGTTAACATCAATATGCTAGCTGCGAGGATCAAACCAATTTAACGTACAGGTTCTTTTTCACCACATTGTGGTGATACAAAGTTACAACAAAGCAACATTATGATCTCTTAGAGATATATAAAAAAAGAATAATATTAACAGTAAAGAAAGACACAAAAGAGGAGGATAAGGTATCAAAGAACCAACATGATTAAATATTTTGTGTGTGTGTGTGTCATGTAAATATAATAAGAGGATGTTAGTTGGGTAGTTAGTAAACATTATAATAGGTAGTTAGGAATTTTAGCAGGCTATATAAGGAGTCAAGGCTATTGCAATCAGACCACCTGGAATTATTGAATAAGAATTGAGTGTTGAATCTCGTCCTATCTTGCCCTCTGTCTATCTCTCATCTCCCCCCCCCCCAAAAAAAAAAAAACCCTCTCTGTCTCTCTTTCCCTCCCTCCCAACTATAATTATCAGCGCGCGTGTGTGTAATACTATAAGAAACAGAAGAAGCCTTGAGAGACTGACCAGTGAAGCCCATGTAGGGACCTGCAAGCAAACTTCAAATACACTAGCCCCAGAAGCTATCGAGGCTGACCTTCGAGGCTCGGAGGAAGGTAAGTTGCTTTGTTCACAATTAGGTGATGCCTGAACTAGTTGACTCTTCTCAATCAGCTCCTTTTTTATATAGTTCTCCAAAAGCTGATTAGAAAGGAGGAAAGAGATGTTCATGGGTGAGTAAAAATTCAAAATAACCCATATATGGAATATCAAATCCTAACAACATTGTTCACCCTTGCCTGATCATTAAAGCATGTATCTGCGCTACCAGACACCAAGAGTGATATATGAGCAGAACTACATGTGGATATATCACAACGCATGGTCACCACACCACGTGAGAATGTCCCTGCCTGAAGAGGAGGTGGTGGAGCACTATAAAATATATGACAAAAAGAGAAATTAACAAATAGAATAAACTACAAAGTAACAAAATATTGTAAAACTCCGATGAGTAAGTGTTCATGTGGATACAATTAACAGTTACCAATTATACGCCAGTCAACCGATAATCATCCACTCAATATTACAATACAAGAGGCATACGCATGCGATATATCAACTCAGAAAACCATGAAGTTACCTTGTCCGGTTGTGAAGTTTACATCCACGTATCTGTAGAAAAGCCATAAAGGGAAAGCAAAAAAATTAAGTAACCAATTAAAAGAAAATTCCAATACACTAAAATACACAGACAGTGACATAATGGCTACAATAGCAGATAGTAAAGTAAACAACTAACTTGCTGAAGCTATATACTTTTAAGTAGATCCGTTATGTAAAATGCCAATTATTTGGCAACATGTTTCACCACTGTCACTTGACAGTCATGTCGAATTCAATCATAAGAGTAGCATTGTCTCATTCAGGATCAAGAAGGGAGGTGAATCTAGTTCTAAATTGGTCCACGCATATCTTGAGTAATGAATAAAACACTAGATCTATGTTGATTACATAGAGTCAAAATGTTGGATGATGCAATGTGGACTTTACTATGTTCTTTAATAATGACAACATCACTCTACATTTGAGCTTATATTATCTTCAAAGCGGAATTTAATATGACGCATCTGGTTAAGGAAAAGCCCACAGAACCTTACCGGGATACAAACTAGAGCCTATCTCTTTTACATTTCCAACAGAAAATGGAGTGATCTAGAATACAGAGAGGAAGAAAATGATAACCGACCCAAACAAGAAAAACTTACTTCTGTACACAGGAGAGCATTGAGTCCGTCCTCCAATGATCCCAATAAGCAAGTCTCCTTTTTTGCAGAGGGTGGGAAGAGAATAAAAGGAAAACGGCAATAAGTAAAAAAATGTGAAGATGTACTACTGCAAGCAAATTCATCAAAAGGAGAAAATTAATTTTGACCTACCAGCATGCAGGGAACTCCACACAGAAGAACTCTCATGTTGACATCATCATCATAAATCTTCAGAGCAGAAATAGTCTCAGGTGAGTTTTCTTCCCCACTCATGTCTGCTTCAAAAGGAGTAATATCAATGTGAGGAGGGTCACCAAACATCTGCGGCTCAAGCTTGCTTCTGCTCTTCATGCTGTTTGAAGGTGAGACATTGTTTTCTGTACAGTATAATCTGAAAGATGCAAGAGCAAGCTGGAAAGCATCCCATGTATGGCTGGAGGTACTGCAAAGCACAATATAAACTGTGAGGAACAACAATAAGACAAAGTCCTATTATCCTGTTTAATCAAGTACTTTCCATCAAGCTTCAAGTAATATAAGAGATAAGATAAATAATTTGCACCCAATGGATGAAAGTTCCCACTTGCAGCACATGGACACAAATACTCAACTCAACTAAGAAAAATTTGTCCCATTACTTTTCTTATGTCATTGTTTCATGGCTTGAAGACAAAATCAATCAGTTAAAGAAAAACTAAAAAAAAAAAAAATCTGTGGAGCCAATCATTCATCCCATCGCCAAGAAGGAATAAACAGAGGCACCAGCAGGAAAGAAAGTACATATTATGACAGCATAGTGGTAGATGACTACCTTTGTGCCACTGAGAAAAAGGCTTGACGAAAATGTGATGCAGCATACTTTGAAAATTCGCTTTTCCAATATATAGTGTAAGGAATTCCCTGCCAAAGAAAATATATATATATATATATATTACAATTTAATGACTTTCCATCAGAAGGATGCTGGTTAATCACCCAGCACCACATCTTTTTAGTCTTCATTAAGCATCCAAGCATAATGACCATGTGATTAGTTTTTAAACCTGCATTTTTTATTTTGTCAAATCAAATAAAAAAATCAGAGAAAATGCTAAAAAAAATTTCACGTCATTGTAACCTTAGAATGGAGAGCCTCTGCCAAATTTTCTCCTTTAGGAGTTTCCAAATAAACCTGCAAAAACATCAGGCAGTAGGGTGGACATCAAATATCACGTTATATGTGCCAAAAATACTTTTAAAGAGAAACCGCTAAGGCTACCCAAGGTTCATTTGACTGTATATTTGAATCAAGGAGCTACTACATGACATAATCCACGTTCCACCAATCCACTCAACTACAAATAAAGTGCAATGCCAGAAGTTATTATCTACTAAAGGGTAAAGGGACTTTTCACCAAGTAAGCTCGCCCAAATACTAGTACAGTTCAAATAAATTTTTAATTACAAGTAAAATAATGCATCACTAGATTGTGGGTCCATGCTTTACATGAAGAGAGAAGTGAGTCGCACTATTCATAATTTATATATAATATGATTTCCCACAAATTTTATATTGTATATAGAATAAATATTATGGTATGTAAATTTGTGCATTGTTCGTGTCAATGCGTGGGTATCATGTCCCCCAATTACTTTTCCATCATATATGCCGATACTGGAAGTCACTGGTCAGCATTCTGAGTGGAAGTGAATAATTCATAAAACAATATGATTTTTACAAACCTTGCTCACCCGATAATATTAACTACATGCTTACACTTTAAACTAGATGAAAGCATAAATTCATGAAAAAAGGGTGAACTTGTCTCAGATCTAAGTTTAACATGTTCTGTCTAAACATAGTAACATACATATCACCATGTATTCAACAGTAAAATTCAGAAGGCATAGTAGTAACGGAAACTGATTTCACATGAATCAATTTAAGGTTTTTTTCTCCACTTTCAGGTGATCATAGCTGAAAGCACAACAAAACACTCACAGTATTGGGTAATTTGGAAGAAAATAAACCACATAAGGCTTCTGGGCAAGACAGATCAACATCTTCCCATAGTAGGGACCCAATTTGTTCATTATCTTCTAGCTGCTCGCCTTGCAGGTAAACAAACTTTGGCTCCAATGCTTCATAAACTCGATGAAGTTCATCAGCAGTTGGTTTGATCAAAACATTAACCTGCATTCACATAAAATGCAAGTATTTGACTAGCTGCAATTTTTATTCAAGCAAAAAAAGTGCAACAGCAGAGAAACTCAATGACCACCTCAAGACGCCCATATGAAGTAAGCTCTGGAATGGGGTATGGAGATTGATCCTGAAAATCATACTGTCTATGCTTTTGTTTATTGTCACATGAATTTCCACTGAGGATGGCAAGGAGACTAGATTTTTTTGAAGGGCCCTGAGCATTGAACATCATGTACGCATAGCAGATTTCTCCAAATATGATGAATTAGAGAGTAAAACCAACTCTTAAAAGAGAGGAAAAAAAAGAAATACTAGAATTACTCCTGCTCCAGCAACTAGCTTATCTCAACCAATGCCTTGAAAGCACCGTATATTAAATCAAAATTCAAAAGACATCCCCACAACTCCCCGTCAAGATCACCACTAAACCAAAAGAAACAAAGATGGGAATGAAAAACTCCACCTTTGTTACATGAAACCTGGAATTGGGGCTAACAAATGTAACGCACACATTGAAATTGAAGAAAATCCGGCGACCAAGATACTAGTATGGCAAAATTAGCGACCTAAATAGTCAAAACGAGGTAAAACCTGCCACTACTAAGCGGAAAGGCCAAAAGAAACACTCCCAACCCTCATCGAAACGATCCACAAAGTTGAAAGAGTGAAGAACCCTATAAGATGGCTGACGTGAGAATAATGAAATCTATACGAAACATCAAAGGATCTCTTCGTTCGCTCTCATATACAAATAATGAATCATGGTCATGCCCTGATTTAATTTAAAATAAAATCATTCGCAAAATCGAAAATCAAATTTATAAGATCTTAGAAAAATAATGCTTTGATTAAAAATCATCGAGGCCTTGTTTGGTTCCGAGAAGATAAAGAAAAAACCGACAGTATTTACCACAGTCCCAAAAGCATTTCTACTCTCAACACAACTGATTCGGTCAAAGCAATTAATCAACGAATACATTAAAAACACAAACCGTATGTACGACAGTACGAGGCTGATTAGCTTTTCGATAAACATTAAACTCCAAACAAATCAGGAAACCCAAAAAAGAACCCAAAGAAATATAGAATTGAGATATTGATGCTGATGATAGAATAAAAGAAAATAAATCTCTTTCACACTTGATTCGACTTCTTTTCAAAACATATGATACCCACGATATTCGGATATTATAATTATTTGCACTCAACAGCATCGACAACAACATCAACATATTACCCCGTTCCAAAGGATTATGCATTCTTAAACAAAGATGGCTTTTCGCTAATTCTAATCTTTATGTTCTCACTCCCTTCCTCCGCTCGTGTCTTTTAGCTCATAGATTATGACTGGGTATTTGTTGGTTTAATCTAGCCTTTTCTATTATTCCTCTTAGGCACTTCGATTCGGACGCTATACACCAAAAACGGTATTATCAGAAAACAAAGTTTAAAAAAAGTTATCAACAACGTTTATCCATTCTTCGTTAGTGGGAAACGTTGAAGGATCCTCCATTGGGCAATGGCGTCGGATAAATCATACTGTTAACCCTACACTTGAAATTGTGGGAACCTGGAAGTGTTGTTGCCTACGATCAGTTACCTCCGAGAAATGAAAATAACCGATTAATACCATTGGATTTGGATAGAAAGCAGAGGAAGAAAAAATGTATAATGGAGGTTACTTGATACTTGATCACACGACCAGATGGCTGAGTCAGCTAAGCCTAAAAGCCTAGGAGGGAACATAGGCCTCTTCGCGCGTGAAGGGGTAACTGTAAATAACAGATCATGATATTATGGTAATCATAATAATAATAATTGATTAGGATCTGGGTAGCAAAAATAATTGTTATACTAGCCCAATTTTTTTTATTTTTCAAAATTTAACTTATATATATTTATATTAATATTTTATTTAATTTTCAAATATTACCAATTTAAAAAAATATGACTTTTTAAGTTCTAGCGAACCATGTGGCTTATGAATATTCCTGTTTTTTATATAGATTTTATAGGAAAAAAATTTGTTATTTGTCGAAATTTTACTATTATATTATAGATATTTTATTAATTTGAAAAAATTGGAAAACGTGAGAAAATATGACTTTTTCTTATCCTATGTCATAACCACAAAAATACATTATAAACACATGTTTTACATCGTCAAAGGTTAGATGCATTGACTGTTGCTTATACAAAGTGCAGTTTTTAATTTATCAAAAATGATAAAAGTGCATTTTTATATATAGACACTATGGACATGAAAATATAAATTAGTTCTGAAAAAATATAAAGGAGAATTATTATTTATTTGTAATAAGTTGAAATAAAGATAAATAAATAATTGAGAATAAATAATAAATAATTATATTTCTATTCAATAGTTATTGAGTTGGACTAGGGAGGCCATCTTAGCTACGAATTTATGGGCATTCCTGTAAGCTCTTATTGTTTTTCTTGATAATTACTTTTCTAATATTTATTAGAAAAAATTAATTTTTTAGTCTTTCAACTTTTAACTCACTTGTAACTCAGTCCCTCAATTATGACTCGTTGTGACTCAATCCCTCAATTATAACTCGCTACAATTCAGTCCCTCAACTTTTAATTTACCTATAACTTGTTCCTTATTTTTAATTTTTTAAAAAATTTTTATCAAATAAGAGGGATTCAAAATGCTCATATATTATTTTAAAATACCCTCTTCTTATTCATTAATGTAAGATATAAGCTAACATGAAAAAAAAAATTAACAAAGGTTAAGGGACTGAGTCATAAGCGAGTTATAGTTGAGAGACTGAATTACAACGAATCATAGTTGAGGGACTGAGTTACAAGTGACTTAAAAGTTGGAGGACTAAAAGATTAATTTTTTTTATTTATTATAAAATGTTTCAGATATTTTCACATAAATTAATAAAAAAATTTTATATGACTTTATTTTTTCAAAAGCATTTTAGTATTTCATTTATACCCCTAATTTATACTTGTTCTCTGTGAAAGAGATAATAATACATTGGTTTAAGCCACAAGACAACTATTAAAATTCTAGGAATAAAAAAGAAAAATAATTTGATATTTGGACACGATATATTATAAATTAGATCAACTTTATTTTTTTTTTTAAAAAATACCTTATATATAGGACTAGAGAGCATATTAATATGAAGATATCAAAATTACAAATATCTTTACCAATTAGAATAAGAAGAAGAGGATCGTCAAGAATTTTTTCGCATGGCTATATGATACCCAATATTATTAGGTTAGATTTGAACATTAATGAGACCACTTAAAAGTAGTTATTTCAAAGGCATTTTGTGTATTTACATGAATTCGAATTCAAAATACAATGCTCAAAGGATTATAGCCTTTCACTAGGATTACTAATTGTTGATTGGTTCAAGATTTATGTGACATTCAAAATTTCTTTTCATTACAATTGTCATGGTCTGAGTTTTTCCCCTTAATTTTATTCAACTTGTTTTTATTCTCATTGTATTACTTTTTTATTATTTAGTTTTTTTTCTCTCACTCACACAAATCAATGAGTATAGGAAATGTTTCTTAGAAATCTCTTATTTTATTTTATATATCGTATCGATTTTCCCTCACCTTTTTTTCGTTTGGTTACAAATATATTCAATTATATGGCTAATATGAAGGTATTGTTTATTCGTTTTATAACCATTGTTAGCCGCTTATTACCCTTATAAGAAGACATCAATATTTCCTCCTCAATTGAAAGTTTCTTTGGATAAAGGAAGAATCAGGGGTATAGCCTACTTAGAGATAGAACTTGCAACCTTCTGAAAAGAATGCTTGCTAACATTGTGACACTGACCACTGGTTTCCCAAAAAGTTACGATCACTTCTTTCTACCATATCCTAGTCCCAATTTGCTAATGATTAGTGATAGGAGCCTTGGTAATCTTTGGACTTGCTTTGCTGTTGTGAAAAATGTCATATTGTTCACTAATGTGATTCTCTGAAGGATTAGGTAAAGCTTAAACAAAATGGCTTTTCCGTAATTCCATTTTTTATCCGAACCTCGTGCCTTTTTATACCTCGCCGGAACTGGGTCGGCAAACAGAAAAGGAAAGGGAGCAAAAATGAACAGCCAGGGTAGCTTCATACCTCACTAACACAGCCAGATAGCAGGATTGATATAACTACAAGAATATGATAAACATTACAATACATTAACGGGGCAATTCCATATAGATCTCGCATATCGCGAGACCACCTTAATACCTTGAGAGAAAAAAGGAACTAAAAATAATTCTACTCTATTACACCGTTTAACCGCCAATCAGATTGGCAGTTTCGTTGGATGCTGAAACAAAAAACCAGTAAAATGTCCTTTGAAGGCAAGTATAAAGCTAGTTGCCTGCTTCATTCCAATACTATCTGAGGTCCAGAAGATCACAGAGAAAATAATGTAAAATGTACAAGATTAAAAAAAAAAAAAAAACTCACCAATGTCAAAAAATTGGCAAAGATGCTCTGCAGTAAAACTAACTAGAGATGAAAATAGAGACAACACAAAACGCAAGTCTCTCTATGTTTAAGGTTATCCAACCCATGGATTAAGTTATTCAACGGCCTCTACAAATAGATCAAAGGAGATTGTCAAGCAGAGTTTGCAAATCCTGGATGGATATCATATTGATGTTCTGGATCTCTTCATCGGTGTATTCTGATTGTAGTAAGGATCGTATTTGGGCATGGGCTTCTACAATATTTGTCCTGCGGGGAAAAATCCTTTTCAGATTGGCGATGTTCTAAATTTTGCATAATTAGAAATCTAGTAACATATTCTGAATCATAAACCCAAATATAAGATTAGAATTTAGAGCCATATAAATTAAAGCAGCTGATCATAACTTGGTAAAAAATGAGCATTAGATTATATATGCCACGGGCATAACTAATGATAGAGGATATTTATCACAAGAGAAGCCACAGTTGAGATCATAATAAATAAAGAAAAGGTAGCAAGATTTTATTTTCTTTCCTTTTTTGTTTGTAGGGGAGGATTACTATAAAGGCAGAACATAATTTCCTTCTTGGTTGCTATCGTGCTTGGAGAGGTTCTCAGAACACATCAGCTATTCAACAAAACTAGCCATTCCCACACAAAGATACCATGAAATCCCAAAATAAAGCGAAATGGGAAGTAAAAATCAAGATGCACCTGTTAATTGTGTGCAGACGAACATTTAGATAACTATTCTACATCTACTTATTATCTTACTTTATTGGTTTGAAAAGTATTGTTCTTGTTGAGGGATTCTGCAGATAAAGCTTCATCTTTGCTATCGCTCCTGGCAACTGATCCTGAATTTCAGTCCTTACCTATTGAGAACATAAAACATCTATTAAGAGACTAGTTGAAACTTGACAACATGCATGTTAAACTTGAATCACCAAAAACACGTCTCCATATTACAAAGTTATACACACTGCATATAAGGAAAGGATTTAAGACAAAAAAAGTAATAGTATTAGTAGTCATAATCAAACGAGTAATGGCAAATGAACAGAGAGGCGTTCAGAAAAGAGTGATATCCTCTAACATTTACACATCATCACTATTCCAAGTCCTATTGCTATTCCAGAAGTAAAATAGAAAAGAAAAAATACATTTACACATCATCGAGGAAATTGAAGTATAGCCATCATAAGGTACAACAAGCCTTCCCGCTTTTGAGTTCAGCATGGTGACAGTTCTATTACTCTATTATGAAAGTTATAACTAATCATGAAAAACTATTCATCAGCTTTTCCCTAAGAGTTTAAGCTTTCAAGATGAAATCAGAGGTTCGATCAGGAATAACTATATTCCTCTTCTAGTCGTGTCTAGACATGACATCTATCGAGAAGTAGACAGTAGACACAATAAACAACTCCCTTTGTTTCAGCATGACAAATTGTTCTCTTCCAAAAGAAAATTTGATTGGTTTAGCTTACCCATTTCACAATCTATCCAGCTCCAAACGTACGATCCAAGGTGCTACACATTAAATCTTAAATGATAGTAAGAAATTCCCAACTCTAGGGTGGAGGTTGAGATGCAATTAACAAACACAAAATTAATATAGACCATACAGGGGCTAACAAGCAGTATGGATTCTCCTCATGGGATCTTTCAGAATAGTATTTTCCTAAGTCCAATAAATAAGCCATTCATATTACTCAGATGAAGTACCTTCTGAATAAGTTCAGCCACCTTATCTGGAGTAGCAAAAGCCTGCTCCTTCAAGGGTTTGGACATAACTGACTCTAGCTTTTGATTCTGACCGCCTGAGGATAATGCAACTTTGACTGCGGTCACCTACAGAAACAATATGGAAAATCTGCTAAGCATCTTTTTTTCCTTGTGGTGATGATAGACGTAGTTTAAACATGATAAACAAAGACATCACAGGGATTGTAGTAGTGAAGCAGATTTGATAGCAAAGAAGACTAGAAAACAGATTTGATAGCACCAAAATTGATAGAGAATAAAAGAAGGCTAGAAAAAATGAAAGGAGGATATCAGAATACTACAAGAATAAAATCGATAGAGATAACATGCGTAATTAAGACATAAGATGAGCCTCCTGAGCATTGCAAGAATCATGCCCCAAGAATCA